TCTTATATTTTTGTTTATATATGTATATATATAGAGAGAGAGAGAGAGAGTTAAAGTCAAACTATTCGCCCCCGTTTATTTTTTTCCCGAATTTCTTTAAATGTTTTCCGCACATCTCTAATCATAATAGTGTTAATACCTCATCTCTAATCACTGATTTATTTTCTCTTTGTCATGATGACAGCACAGTATATTAGACTAGATATTCTTCAAGACACTTCTATACAGCTTAAAGTGACATGTAAAGGCTTCACTAGGGTAATTAGGGTAACTAGGCAGGTTAGGGTAATTAGGCAGGTTATTGTATAATGATGGTTTGTTCTGTACACTCAGAAAATATTAGCTTAAAGGGGCTAATAATATTGACCTTAAAATGGTGTTTAAAAAATTAAAAACTGCTTTTATTCTAGCCGAAATAAAACAAATAAGACTTTCTCCAGAAGAAAAAATATTATTAAACATGCTGTGAACATTTCCTGAATCTGTTCAACATCATTTGGGAAATATTTAAAAAAGAAGAACAATTCAAAGGAGTCGAATAATTTTGACTTCTGCTGTATTTATATATATTAATTGTTGCTTACAAAATTTATTTTAAAAACACATATAGAAAATAGCTCTAAATATTAATAACAAAAGAAATGTCTTTAAAATGTAACTTATTTTGATTTGCAATGAATTTTATTTTTACTATTATTGTTCAATCCAACATTTTTTCTGAATGTGCATAGACAATTACATAAACACAATTAAAGAAAGACATGACTAAAAAATAAACTGAGATAAAATCTGTAAAATGTCGTCTCTATTTTGATTTTGCAATGGACAGACCCTCAGTCTCTGTCTCTGTTTTCATCTCTTAATGTCTGAGCTGCCGGATTATTATGAGATGTGAAAAATATGCTGTTTCCGGATGCGGTCAGCACTGCAGATGTCAGACGTGACATTTCTGCCAGTAAAACAACACACACACAAACCCAAGTGTTAACTTTAAGAGCCGAGTATACAGTTGAAGTCAGAATGATTCGCCCTCCTGTGCAATATTTAATCTTTCAAACATTTCCCAGATGATGTTGAGCAGATTCAGGAGTTGTTCATCGTGTTTCCTCTAATATTTGTTCTTCTGGAGAAAGTCTTTGTTTTATTTCAGCTAGAATAAAAGCAGTCCCTAATAGTTTTAAAGTCATGTTAAGCTCAATATTATTGGCCCCTTCAGCAATATTAGTGTTGGATTGTCTCCAGAACAAACCACTGTTATACAATGACTTGCCTAATTACCCTAACTTTACCCTGATTACCCTAGTGAAGCCTTTACATGTCACTTTAAGCTGAACACTAGTGTCTTGAAGAATATCTAGTCTAATATTATGTGCTGTCATCATGACAGAGAGAAAAGAAATCAGTTATTGGAGATGAGTTATTAACACGATTATCATAAGCATGTAATGTGTTGAAAAATCTGCTCTCAGTATAATAAACAGGAGGGCAAATAATTCTGATTCTGTGTATGCTGAAGTGTGACGTACATGCATGATGTTGGTGGACTGGTTAAAAATGTGAACATATTTCTTGAGGATGTCGAAGTGAAACGCTGGAGTGAGCAGTCTGCGGTGACGAGACCATTCCTGACCGCTCTGAAGCAGCAGACAATTACCTGGCAAACACACACATTGGTGAATTGGTTGATATTTTAATATGTAATGTATTTCTTTAATTTAAACATGAATTTAATATGCATATGATGCATTAATTATCATGATACATTTATGATTATTATTATCAATGCGGGCATTATAAATGTGGTCATGTAATGCACTTTCATATAACAGCAGACATGCATGGTTTTAGCATGTTCAAAATCAGTGTTATTGCATGTTTTACATGCATTTTAAGGCTAATTCGTTTGATTGCACTAATTGTTTATTATTAATATAATTAATCATTATAATATAAAACAATAATTAACATCGTAAAACAGAATTAATTATTCTAAATTATGAATCAAATTTAAAGCAGAGACACATAGAAATGCAATTTTATTGATCAAAAATACAGTAAAATTTGTAAAGTATATTCAGAATATCTATTTGCTACTGTGATCATATTTAAATATGTAATGTAATGCTGTAATTAAATTCTGCATCATTACTGCAGTCTTTAATGAAATCCCTCCAATATGATATATTAATTATTAAAAATATTTATGATTATTATTATTACCAATGCTTTAATGCACTTCCACAGCATAAACGCATGGTAAATCTTTATATGATCAATGAGTTATGATGACGTATGTTGTTAAAACTTGTTCAACCTTTTTTAGTAGTTATACAAGTTAATTTAGGTCAGTTTAATGTCATTTAGGTTAAAATGACTCATAAAGCTAATTCTCTTGATTCAATGTTTACCATTCATATATTTCTTATTTATATATTAAGCAATATTTATCTATTTACAATATAATTACTATATAATATTTAAATGAATGGCGACCAGTAATTAGTTTTTTTTTATTTTTCAAACAGTGGAAATGCAACTTTATTGATTGAAAATACAGGGAAATTAGAGAAATATTATTACGATTCAAAACACAGATTTGCTACTGAGATCATATTTTAATATGTAATTTATGGCTGTAATTTAAAGCTAAATTTTCTGCATTATTCACCATTGATCCTTCAAAAATCCTTTAAACATGATATATTAATTATTTTAAATATTTCTGGCATTATAAGTGTATCTATGGTCACTGTCAATTGATGTAATGCTATTTAATATGATAACAGCATAAATGCATGGTAAAAAGTTATGCAATTGCATGTTTTTATGTTATTAAACCTGATTTTAAATCCGTTTAATGTAATTTAAGTTTAAATGACTCATAAGGCTAATTCATTTGATTCAATGTTTAATATTCATATAATTCTTAATTATATATTAAGCAATATTTATCTATTTACAATATAATTACTATAAATTATTATTCAAATGTATGGCGACCCGTAATTAGTTTTTAATTTGTCAAACAGTAGAGATGCAGCTTTATTGATCGGAAATACAGGAAAATTAGTGAAGCATTGCGATTCAAAACACAGATTTGCTACTGTGATCATATTTTAATATGTCATTTATTGCTGTAATCTAAAGCTGAATTGCACTAATACTTTCATTATATATTAATTATTTAAAATCTTTATGATTATTATTACCAATGCTGGCATTATAAATGTGGTCAGTGTAAACTGATGTAGGGCACTTTCACAGCACATATGCATGGTAAAGCATTATATGATTATTAAGTTATGACAACTTGTGTTTTTATGTTAATACAAACATTCATTCATTCTTTTATTTTCGTTTCGGCTTAGTCTCTTTATTACTCTGGGGTCACCACAGCGGAATGAACCGCCAACTTATCCAGCATATGTTTTAATCAGAGGATTCCCTTCCAGCTGCAACCCAGCACTGGGAAGCCGTAAATGAATGGATTTCTAAAATAATTCATTAGACATGTTTATTCCAGTTAAGGGCACCAAGTATTTATTTTACAGGGCTTGAATATACTGCTTTTATAAATCAATCAAACAAGTGAAGTTCATTTATAAACTAATTTCGATAGGATCACGTGATTATGATTGAACACGGCTGGTTCTGCATTAGCTACTTATGATCCACCAATCAGGCCTGTCCCAACCCACTATAAACAGCCAGGGTTTCTCACTACAGCCATCTTCGATTTGAAGAATCCCCCCTTCCACCCTTCTCCACCTTTCCCGTAGGGCGGCACGGTGGCCCATTGGTTAGCACTGTTGCCTCACAGCAAGAACGTCACCGGTTCTAGTCCTTTAACACGCTGGTGGTCATTTCTTTGCGTAGTTTGCATGTTCTTCCCGTGCTCGCGTGGGTTTTTCCCAGGTCCTCCGGTTTCCTCCCACATTCCAAAAACATGCACTAAGCGAATTGATCAATCTAAATTTATCTCTACAGTCAAACTGTCATCCTGCAGCACATCTCTTTACAGCAATCATTTTAGTCATCAGCTCTTATCAAGGGGGCAGTTGTCGAGAGCTCAAAGCGCCTCTCTCGCCCTGCAAACGGGAGGGAGCCCAGGGCTCAAGGACTTTTTGGGCTCAGGGCTGTCTCCCGGGACGGCATGCCAAACTTGCTCATAATCAATCATCAGCTAAGTGTGAACTCTTGAAATGTAATTTATATAACACTTTCACACACAATTGAATGCAGTTTATACAACAGTTATATAATGAGTAGTTCATATTCTGTTGCATTTTGCCCACAATATTGTCTGTTTTGGTTCAGTTTTGCCAACACTATTACTATTAGAAGAACCTGTTAGTGTAAAGTTATACAAAAAACATTTTTAATAGTCACACACCTTCAATCAACATACAAGATGTTTCTAAATAGTTTCTAAATGAATCCACAAATAGAATGAATCATTTGAATCAATAACTCAATGATCCGTTCATAAAGAGAATCCTTACTGAGTGAGTCATCTGTTGGAACGAATCAAATGAATCAATGACTCACTCGTTAGACGTTTACTTGCACCTACTGTTGGTGTGAATTTCTTATTTAGAGTTTAATTAATAATAATAATAATCATTGAATGTGTTTGTATTAATAAATCAAACGACTCACTTACCCAACCAGGGCTTCATAAAGCCATAAAAGATCCTGTCTTTGAGAGTAATGGAAGCTGCCAGAACAGAAAGAGTGTAAAGTTATTATTATAGAAATAAATTCACATTCTGCATTTAATTGTTGCAAAGTACAGCAAAAAAAGTGAAATATTTGTGCTATTTTAAATAATTTTTTTCTAGTTGAATATGTGCAGAAATGTAATTTATTCCTGCGATTTAAAGCTGAAATTTAGCATCATTACAGCAGACACGCGATCCTTCAGAGATCAATCTAATATGATGATCAGAAAACATTTAGTATTATCATGATTATCAATATTAATTCATTATTGATTACTGAATTAATATATTTATTTGATTTTGGATCTATATATATATATAAATATATATATATATATATATATATATATATATTGGATTATATATATATAGTTGTGCATATTTGCTAGTTTTTTGAACAGAAGTAGGAGTTTTATTGTATATATTGTTATGGCTGGTGTTTAAGGCAGAGTTTTTGTCAACACTGAAGTAGAAAATCATGGTTTTGCCATGTGGTTTATGTAATCTTGTGTGCTTCACATTACAAGGAGAAATCACCAGTTATATGTGTATGATGTGTGTGTGTGTGTGTGTGTGTGTGTATGATGTGTGTGTGTTTGACAGGTGTGTTGTCCACCTGAGGCGGTCAGGAGGGATCTGATGTAGTCCGGGTGGAACAGACGAACCATGTTATAGAAGGGGCCGAGAAACCAGGAGCAGGAATGACCGTATTTACAGACCAGATCATCCACACGCTGCAGACCCTCCTCATTATGACCCATCTGAAGCACGCAGATAAACACACGCATACAGAATAAAGCATTATCAGTACACATGTGTATGTGTAATATTGGGGAGCACGAGTTATGCTGCTACTAGTAGAGTAACCAATTACAAAAACCTGAATAACCGTTTAATATTTATGCTCATAGTTCAAGTTTGATTTGTACCAGCAGATGGCGCTGGTGTTACAGGAAGCTTAGTAAATAACTTTAAAATAATGACCAAACACACTATCTATTCATCCATCTATGTATATCTATCTATCCATCTGTCTGTCTCTGTCCGCTCATCTATTTATCTGTCCGGTCTATCCTCTATCTATCTGTCTGTCTGTCCGTCCATCATACTGTATATTGATTCATCCATTGATCCATCTATCCATCCATCCATATATCAGCCTGTCAGTCCATTTGTCATCTATCTATCTATCTATCTATCTATCTATCTATCTATCTATCTATCTATCTATCTATCTATCTATCTATCTGTCACTCTGTTAGTCCGTCCGTCCGTCCGTCCATCCATCCATTCATCTATCCATCAAACCAATCCATCCATTCATCTAACTAATCCAAACAACCATTCATCCATTATCCATCCATCTATCTGTCTGTCATATATTAATCTATCTATTAATCCAT